AATTGGGAGAGACAGTTAACATTGAATAATAAAGTGTATATTAGTTATGTCAGGAGGTGATAATGCTATGAAAAAAATAGAACAAAGTAATGACTCCTTGGGCACTAGAGAAAGTTTCAATTTTAGGTAGGAAAGAAAGATTTGACCCTTTTGGGAATGTGGCTTTTTTTTGTGTGTGGTGCTGAGGATTGAACCCAGGGCCTTGTACATGCTAACAGTGCTCTACCACTGAGCCTCACCCCAGCTTGGAATGTGGCTTTTGAGCATGGACTTGAGGTGATGGAGTTGGCCCTGTGGATATGTTAGTTACAGGTTATTGCAGAGGAAAGCAGACCAGGCAGAGGAAGCAGCTAGCAAAAGGTCCTGTGTATAAGTGTGCCTGGCGGGGTCAAAGAGCAGGAAGAAGGCCAGTGTTGCTAGAGTGAGACTGGAGTAGGAAATGATGAGGTGATATCCATGAGGAAGGAGGGGTCAGATGTCAGAGGTTCTTAAGACTTGGATTATTATTGTAGTGAAATGAGAAGCTGTTGCTGGATTTTGAGCAGAGGAGGAACCTTGTCGTACCTAAATGTTTAAAGGATCTGTGACTAGTGTGTTGAGCCCAGATTCTCAGGAGGCAAAGGGAAAAGCCATTGGAGGCTACTGTGATCCCTTAGTCACAGATGTTGGTGACTATGACCCAAATAGGTAGCAGTGAAGGTAATGGAGAGTGGTCAGATGCTGAGATGATTTGAAGGCAGTCCCAGCATGATCTATGGATGATTGGGTGTTCAGTGTGTGAGACAAAGGCAAGTCAAATATCGCACCAAGATTTTTGGCTTGAGTAGCTAGAATAGAGGGCTTGCCATGAACTGAGATGGGGAAAGCCATGGGAGAGCAGGGTGGACAGCAAAATTAAGAATTCAGTTTGGGGCATCCATCTGGAACTGGTCACTAGGCAGCTGGGCCTGTGAGTCTGGGGTCAGAGTTAATCATTTGGGAGTTATCTGCATGTAGGCAGTATATAAAGTCACAAGGGCTCCATGATATCATCTAGGAGGACATAAAAGAGAAAGGACCATTGGTCACTGCACATTAAAAGGTTGGAAACAAGAGAAAGACCTGAACAGAGTGTGATATTCTGAAAGCCACTTGAAGAGAGTATTTCAAGGAGGAAGGGGAGCCCTCTGTTGTGTTGAATGTAGCTAATAGTTCTTATGAGCCAGGAAGTCACCTCTGGATTGAGTAGTCTGTGTGTCTGCACATCACTGAGACATTTGAAATTAAACTATTAATTTATAACCATGGCTATCTGCTGCCTGCCTTGAAAGCAAACTTTTTGAGGGTAGGGATTTACTTTGTTACTTTTGTTATAGTCATTGTAGAAGTTCAACAAATATTTCTTGAATGAGAATGAATAAATGAATCAGTGTGATTACCTTGTGCCTAGACCTAAATTAGACCTCTGAAGGAAGTGTGTACGAGGGCGAGCATTGGATGGCAGGGTGTTAGGGAGACATCACCAGCATCGGCAGGAGAAATCAGCTCATTGCTGAGGTCTTTGCTTTAGCTTGGAGATGTTTGTTTTTGAAGGTTCAGTAGACATCTTGGTATCCTAGATTTGATGCCAATATAAATGAATTTACAGTCATGCTCCTTATGGTCCATGGTATGATGGATTATGTACCCAGTGCTTGTGCAACACTGCAGGAGAGCCAGCGTAGATCAGGTTGTGGAGTCAGGAAAGGAGATGTTCAGAGGGAGGCATGCAAGTGAAATCAGATCTCAAGGGGATGTTGGGGCTAGCACAGGGAAAACTGGGCAGGACCTTCCTTGGAGGAGGGAACAGCATAAGCAAAGGCTGCAGTGTGGGAGCCTGTGTGGTAGAACTACCAGTGTTTTGTGGGGTATGTGTTGATACGGTGTGAACTCCTCTCTCCCACTGCACTTGAGCAACTCTGGTCGTCCATTCTCACTGGGGAGGAGGGGAGACAGATGAACTAAGCCTCAGGTGTTGTTTGTCAATGTTAGCAGTTTGGTTATTATTATTATTACTATGATTATTATTTTGGTGGTGCTGAATATTAAACCTGGGGCTTTGGACATGGTAGGCAAGTATTCTGCCACTGAGCTATATCCTCAGCCTAAGAGCCTGAATTTGAACCTATGTTCGGTGGAAAGTCAGAATTTTTAAAGAAGGGAATAATGATAAGCAGACGGGAATGGAGGCAATAACATGATTCAGTTGTTGATGAGGTGTAGGACGATTAACCCAGCATCTGACTGTTGTCTAGCTTGTAAGATTATAGAGGAAACTAGCTAGAATATTGCACCACTCATGAGTGAGGCAATAAAAGTGGATTTGAGAGGGCGTCCAGGCTTTGGGCTGCTGGCAAAGTTTCTATTTTTACAAACACATAGTTCCTCACCCCCTCATCCCGGACAGTGTAGCAGACTCCTTGTCAGCTGGAACCAGAAGTAATCTCCTGATGTGATTGCCTTTCAAGGAAAAGGAGATGATTGTACTAGGTGGAATGGGCACTAGTAATGTATTATCTACATTCAGCATGCCTGGTGAGGCTGCTTGTCCTCTTTGGGTTCCTTCTTCATAAGGCAACATTGCCCTCCAGGCTTTAGCACATTCACCTGCTGAATTCAGCAGGTCCAGAGAAGGGATCAGAGGGCATGCCAGCCTCTGATGGATTCACAGCTGGAGGATCTCAGGCCCCCAGCCAAGTCACCTCCAGGATTGTAGTCTTTTCTTTTTATAAGACCCATTGCATAGTTCCTGCTGAACGGAGGGCGGGGAGAAAAAGGGACAATGTTTGCCACTCAGAGTGCAGGCCACCTCTTACCTCTGACTGGTCTGGACATGTGTGGTAGAAACAGGAAAGTCTACTTGGGGTGGATTTTATGTGGGCTGGTTGGGGGGAGTCTGGAAGGGCAGCTGCTGATTTGCTAATGGCAGCACAGAGGAAGGTCACACAAGTGTCAGTTTTCTGCAGTTTTTTCCCACCTAGACTACATTTCAAATGGATGTGAGAAGTCAGTTAACCAGGGAGGTGAGGTGGCAGCTGGCCCCATTTCTTCTGTCTTATGCTGAAAGTCAAAGTGAATTTTCCTATTTTTTAAGAGATGTACTTATTGACTGAGTTAGCAGTAGTTTATACCGTATATATGTATACTATGTACAGTGTATATAGTACGTATGTATGGTATATATGTGTGTGTTATTTGATTTTATTTGCAGTGCTGGGAATTGAACCCAGGGCCTTGTATGTGCTAGACAAGTATGCTACCACTTGAGCCACACAGCCATCCCTTTTTGTTTGTTTGTTTGTTTTTGAGATAGGGTCTCCATAATTTTGCCCAGGCCATCCTTTAACTTGAAATTCTCCTGCCTCTATCTGCTCAGTAGCTGGGATTACAGGCATGTACTACCACACTTGGCTTGACTGTATTTCATTGATTCTGAGATACCTGTTTTACATTTTTACATCTCTGATATAAAAAGTTTTATATCTCTATTGTCAGTGTATTAAGGCTTATAGTTGATGATGTATTATAATTTAATTGTCAGCTCTTTTGTTTCCTTAATGATATGTAAAGTAATTTGTACTTTTAAAATCATGTATATAGTATATATTATACATGAAGTGTGTGTGTGTGTGTGTAGTGTGTATCTAGTTTTGCAGTGCTGGAGATCAAACCCAGGGCTTTGCACACACTTCTCTACTGAACTGTGTGTCTAGACCAACGTGTTGAGAGAGGGTCTCACTAGGTAGCCCACTCTGGCTTTGAATTTATGATCTTCCTGCTTAGCCTTCTAAGTGCTGGACTTATAGGTATGTGCCACCATACCCAGTCAGAGATAAGGAGGATCGTGGTTCAGAGCCATCCCTAGGCAAATACTTCACAAGACCCTATCTCAAAAATACCCAACACAAAACAGGGCTGGTGGAGTGGCTCAAGTGGTAGAGTACCCACCTAGCAAGTGTGAGGCCAGGAGTTCAAACCGCAGTACCACAAAAAAAAGTATCTGCACCTAAAATGCTGAAATTGCTTACAAATATGAGCAGTAATTATAACTGGGAAGGGGAATTATAATTCATTTTAAAAATTTTCCTTTCACGCTAAGAGTATAGAGGTCCTGAGTTCAATCCAAAACTAACTAGCTAGCTAGTTAGCTAATCAACCAACCAATTAAAGAAATAAATTCTTCCTTGTTTCTTTTTATTTTGTAGTATTTTCTGCAAAGCAGTATTATCTGAATTTAAAATAACTTTCCAAGTCCTGTTGATATTTATGGCATCCTTCTTGTGCATTTGCACTGTTTCAGACATTGGTAACGCAATGATGATGAGTAGGAAGTACAGCCAGTTTTCTAGTGAAAACGAGGAAGAGAGACAGTAAACGTGAAAAAGGGCATTCCATATTTTGGAGACAGAATGAGGACCAAAGATGTTAAGATAGCGTGCCAAAGTCCTGACATAGTGGGTATAAAAACCCCACTCACTTGCCTTTTAGCTCAGTGCCTTTTCTGTTTTACCTTACCTGCTTTCTTGATTCTCAAGACAGCCAAGGAAAATTTTTGAGCATTCTAAATCAGAAGTCTCGTTAGTTTGCTGGGGTTTTTATGAAGGAGTTCTGTAGTAGGCACATTGTAAGGAAGGTGAGTTTTCTACCCAGCTGTGTCTAGAGTCCATGCAGCAAATCCCTTAAGTGATGTGCACTTTATTCTCATCATCTGAGGAATAAAGAGCTCAGCTTTTGCTGGATCTGCACATCTGTAGCCCCAGCTACTCAGGAGGCTGAGGCAGGAACATTGAGAGTTTACAGCAGCCTGTCTCCAAATCAAAATAAAAAGGGCTGGGGTTTAGCTCAGTGGCAGAGGACATGCCTAGCTGGAGTCAGTCCCCAATAATGGGGGAAGAGAGAAGCATCCTTGGTGATTTCAAAGGGTTGTGTTTGCTTTCTTTGGCCTGGAGTCACATCTGAGTGTCGGTGTGTTTTCTCTACAGCCATACACACAGCTGCGATGGACATGCTGGGAGGGTCTGGGGTCGAAAACCAATGTAGGAAAGTTGACATCATTGCAGATGCTGCATACTCCATCTTCAAAAAGCCAAAAACTTTTACTGGCAACTTTATCATTGATGAAAATATCTTAAAAGAAGAAGGAATAAAAAATTTTGATGTCTACGCAATCACACCAGGTAACGCCTTATAGTTTTTGAAAGTAGTGATATATTTTCCCACATTTTCTGCAGTTTTGCATGTGTGTTTATGTGATTGTAAAATGAATATATTTTTGTAGAAGCTATCCTCTGACAAAGAGAAAAACCCATACCATCTTTACTTAAAAAAGAGAGAGGAGGTCTGGAGGTGTGACTGAAGCAATAGAGGGGACTTAGTTCAAACCCCAGTAGTGAGAGAGAGAGAGAGAGAAGAGAGGAGAAAGGAGAAAAGACAAATAGAAGTTAGTTGAGGGATTTTGAAGTAGTATGATGCAGAGGATTGTGTCAGCTATGAACCATTTCAAGATTTCGAAACCAAAAATGAAAATTAGTTTTAAAAGGTGGTCTTAATATTAAAGATTATCAGTGCTGGGCTCAGTGATACATGCCTATAATCCTAGCTGAGGCAGGAGGATCATGAGTCTGAGGAAACCTGGGCTACATAGTGAGATCCTATCTCAAAAACAAACCAAGCAAACCATAAAAAAACCCCAAGATTTTATTCAAGATGATTTTATGA